TTTTTTCTTTTTTCTTTTAATTGGAGTCTCACTCTTGTCACCCAGGCTGGAGTGCAGTGGCACGCTCATGGCCACCACAGCCTCCATCTGCTGGCCTTAGGTGATCCTTTCACCTCAGCTTTCCAAGTAGTTGGAACTACAGACATATGCCACCACATCCAGCTAGTTTTTGTGATTGTTGTAGACGAGGTCTCACCAAGTTGCCTGGGCTGGTCTCGAACCCACAGGCTCAGGCAATCCTCTTGCCTTGGCCTCCCAAAGTGCTGGAATTACAGGCTGAGCCACTGCGCCCTGCCAGAGTAGATTACCAGTCCACCCCTATTTGACAGAGAAAAAGAAATGATGCTTCCAAGGACTTTCATTTACTCATTTACTGAAGCTTAGCAATGATGTCAAAAGGGTCAGTCTCCTGATGTCAGGGAACTCACAGTACATGAACATTTCTTACAAACTGATATACAGGTTGTAATGGAACAAGTCACAGGAGGCTGTTTCTATAGGAAATAAGGGGGACTCCTAAGGCATCAAAGTGTATTCAGGTTTGGGCAAGGAGTGTAAGGAACAGCTTCCCAGAAAAGGCTACATTTGAACCGAGTCCTGAGAATAAATAAGAATTAGCCAGGCAGGTAGTGGGGGAAAAGGAAAAGGATAATTCAAGAAGGAACTGCAAAGGCATATTTGTGGGCTGAGGAAAATTCTCTAAGGCTGGTGTGTTGTATGCATGTGAAGTGACAGAAATGAGCCTGGGCAGTGGACAAAGTGCTATAGCACCTTGTACCCAAAGCCAACATCTAGAGGTACAGAGCTGAAGGCTACGGAGAGAAATATTTCAGTTCTGAAATAAGGGCTATCAGGAGCAGTTAGCATTTGGGAAGGATCTCTCTGACTTTAGGGAGGAAAGCAAAAGCAGGAGTATGAGGTGGGGCTGTGGGTGATCAAGGAAGGAAATAAGAGTACATTCAGGTGGCAGTGCTGGGCATGAAGGAAGGTGTGGATTTGATAGTGTTAAGATAGACTGAACTTGATGGCTCATTGTGTGGGAGTGAGAAAGGAAGGAGGTCTACATGACTCCCAGTTTCTGACTTGGGCAACTAGGTTGATCAAGAGAAAACGCAGAGGAGGACTGAATGGCTTGGGAAATGACAATGAGAAGGGGTGGGACATGCTGGGTGCAAAATACCTGGGGCAAGCCAGGCTGGATGTCTGAGAGGTAGTTCAGAAATCCCAAATCAGAGATCTTAGCTGGAGAGAGTTCTGGGTGTCATTTGCAGAGGTGGGGGCTGATGATTGGCTATGGATGAGAACTTCCCAGAAGATGAGGAAGGAGGAAAAAGGGACAAACCCATGATGGGGAATACTATAGGGATAGGGAGCAAGGAAGAGGACTCCAAAAAGAAAGACACCAGCAGCAAAGAAAAACAGAGCTTAAAGAGGAGCGTAATCAAAGGCCAAGCCAGATGAATGCTAAAAAAAAAGTCTACTGGGTGTGGCTATTAGGACATCATTAACACTTTTATGGAGAGCAGATGAGCAATTTCAGCAGATTATCCGTGGGGACAGAGTGAAGGATAAAAAAATGGAAGAGGCAGGTGTATGACCCTGCTTCAAAAAGCTTGACTGGGAGGGAAGGGAAGATACAAGGCAACTATCTGGGAGTTATTGACGTCTTCAGATGGGGAGATAGGGCATGATCCTATTTAGAGAGGACACCAGCGATGAAGGAGTTCTAGGAGAGATGGGATAAAGTGAAGGAGCAAGATCAGCCAGAGATAGCCTGGAACCCAGAGGTATCTTGATTCCCAGTCTAGTGCTCATTTCTATCTCACGGTGCATTCCTCTTCCAGGTGAGGGACCGAGAAGGGGAGAGGGATTATGGGGAGCTGAGAACCCTCAACTTGGGAGGTTTGGAGTAAGGGCGTCCCTTCAAACTACAACCGCATAGATGGTGGAGCCATCAGCCGGGACCACTGTGGACAGCCGGCGGGGCCTTCTGAGAGCCATATAGTCCAGGTCAGCGTAGAGAAGGCTCTGAAGGAGGAAGAGAAGGAAGGCAGGATGCTCTCCGCAGTCCCGCTTAGGATCCAGGCCTTTTTACTGACCCACTTTCCTCTGGGGTTCTGGCCAGCCCCCTTCCCATCCCCAAGACCTTACCGGCTCCTGATCCAGGCCCCCAGGAATCTTGGGCTCCTCCTCCTTTACTGGCCTCTGGGGCTCGGCTGCTTTCACGAGTGGAGCTATGTGGGGGGGACAGAGCTGAAGGATGGAGAGAAGGTGACCAACTTGTCTGCTCCCATCAAGGGCTCAGACTCAGGAATTAAGAGGTGAAGAATGTGCGGGCAGGAGAAGGAAAATGGGATGGAGTTAGCCTCACCAAATCTGGGAAATGGTCGAAGCGGGTGCGGGGGCGCGCGCCTGTAATGGACATATAGGAGTCTGAGTCAACAGTCTTGTCTTACGAATTCTCGGCCCCAAGACGCGCCAACGACAGCCCAGCAACTTGTAGGTTCAGACCCGAAAACAACTTAGGCTCGTCCCCCGCAGATACTCCTATCCGCGCTCTGACCCCGCTGCACTTCCGCTGGCGCGGGCTTCACTCACCAGCGGGTGGCTGAGTTCTCAAATTCTGATCGCGCCCATCTTCTCCAAGCCACGCCCAGGGCTCCAGATCTAGCCCGACCATTTGCGAAGGTTCCAGTTCTGCCCCCCGCCTCTGGTCACGCCTCCATTAAGCCAGGCCCCGCCCCTCGTGCTCACCTGCGCAGCCACCAGACCACGCCCAACGCTCCCAGTCCCAGCGCCAGCCCAGCGCCAAGCAGCGGGATCAGGAGCTGGCGATACGCGGACCCTGGGGAACGGCGTGGCGGGAAGGGATGCCGAGGTCAGGGGTACGACGACAGAGAACTAGGTGTCCCGCTCAAGAACCCCCAGCCAAGTCCCCCGCCCTCCCCGGGTATGTGTCGGAATTACGTCCCTCGGTGCGCGCAGGCCAGGACCTACCGTGGGTAGGCCCCGGGATCCTGCAGTCGGCCCTGTCCCCCAGCACGTGAAGCACCGTACGGCTCTCGTCCTCGTGGCGGCCCTTGCAGAAAAAAATGCCCGAGTCCCCGGCGCTCAAGAGGAGCTCCAGCCGCCGGATACCAGAATCCAGGGAGCGTAGGCGGCCGGTGAAGGGCTGGAAGGAAGGCACGGTGGGGGCCCCGCTAGACGAGGCCCACAGGATCGGGCGGCGTCCTTTGGACAGGCCCTTGCAGGCTGGGAAGCTGGGTGCCCAGGCCCAGCGGATGGGGTGCGCAACCCCTACGCAGGAGAGATTCACGCGGTCCCCAGGGACACCTTCCAGAGAAGCTATGGGAGGCCAGAGGTTGTGGTTAGGGCAGGTTCACAGGGCAAACCAACCCCCTACCCCATCTCCTCTTTTTCACCTCTCCTCTGTCCTCTAGTCCTGGATCTTCCACCACAATCCCTATACCCCGAGGCGCCCCCTTCCCTGCCTCAGTCTTTCCCGCTCCGTCACAACTATCCCAGGATTTGCTTACCCCCCGGGTCCCCTTGGGCCCTCAAGAGCAGCAGCGGCAGAAGCTGCAGAAACAGAGCCATAGTTGGGATGTGGTGGGAAGAGGTGGCAAGTGAATCAGCGGGGAAAACCGGAGGGAAGCTGGGGGTGGATGGGGGGAGGGAGGGTCTGGGGGCTCAGATAAGAGAAGAGGCGGGGCGGCCAGCTGGGAGTGGGGAACGACACTTTATGAATCCTGCAGGCACTCTCACACTTCTCCAACAGTGCTCACTTAAAATGTGTGCTGGGACCATTTGCACAAGCACTTTTCGCCTGCTTAACTTCAGCACAGCGGTGGCTGAGAATCTGGAGCTTCACTACCTGAGATAAAATTCTGACTTTCTGATCTAGTAGCTGCATGATGTGGGCAATCATTTAACCTCTCTGGGCTTGTTTGTGCATCTGTAAAATGGAGTAAAAGCACCTATCGCTTAGGGTATTGTGAGAACTAAACAAAGTAATACACCTAAGCTGCCTAGAACAATGGCTGACACATGGAAGTACTATGTAAGTGCTTGCAATCTTATTATTTCTATTCTTATTTTACCTTCTACGTCACCTTTCTGTGCCCACGCTGTCCCTCTGGGCCTGTGGTGCCCCACCCAAGTTGGCAGGTTTTGACTGGGGAGGAGTTTAGAGCAGGTGCATACTGCCACACCTAGGATAATTTCTGCCACTGAAATGGAACAACTGAGACCACACCAAGCCCAAGTGGACCCTGGTTGAGGTATCACGAACTTTCAGGAGGAACTGAAGCTGCCCTCTATAGCAAGCCAGTCAGGGCTCTCCTGGAGGCACAACCCAAGCCCCTACCTCTGCTGTTATGGCATCACAGAAGCCTTCAGTGATGTCACAAACCCTTCTTCCTGTGCCTGAGCAGGGGAGGGGGTGAATCAAGACTAATTTGGCCCCTTCCATTCTCAATTTCTGCCAGGATGCCCCTACCAGTGCCCCCCAGAAACCCAAATTTGGCAATTAATTTGGATCACATCCCATTGGTCATTTCCTAGGAACCAGCAGAAGCTACCACCATAGCCACAGTAAATCACAGAGGCCTTTGGTGATATTCCTTCAGTGGACTGGGCAGTCAGGACTCCTAGCTGGGGGCCAGGAGCTGCATCTTGGCCTGAAACCAAGAACCACAATGGAGTTGACCACTAGTGGCAACTATCCTCCCCCATCACTCTCTCCCACCCTCACTCCAGACCTGCTCAGCCCCTCCCCAGTCTTTTCCTCTAGTCAGCTGTGTGTATAAATGTAGAGGGAGGGGCTACCAGAGGCAGGGTGGGGAGGAGCCTTGGGGATTATAAATTCCAAAAAGGGCACTCAACTCCCAGAGCCAGATCCTCGAAAATCTACTCCATCTGCTGCTGTTGAGGCTGCTACTATTCTCAGGACCCTCACCATGAAAGGCCTTCTGCTGCTCATTCTGTCTGCTCTGTTCTGCTGGGTCTCAGGTAAGCACCTGGGAGCTCCAAGGCCCTGGCTCACCTGATCAGGACTTTACACCCTTGTCCTGCCTCCTGCACTATCCACTACTCAGAATCCCAAACACACCCACCCCAACTGGCTCAACTCTCCTGTGCCTCCAGGACCAGGCTTTCCTGATAGGCTCCTTGCTCCATTTCTCAAGGACCTAGGTCTCCATCTGTCCTCCCCATCTCCAAGAAAGACCCACTTTTCTCACCTGCCAGAGCTCTGGGTCCCCTGTTTCCCACTCCAAGGTGCCCCCTTCTTGAAAACTCTCATTTTCAGTTCCCCAGCCTCACCTAATGTGTACTTCTCCAGGATCCAGCTTACCTGTCTTCTCTGACCTTCTGTGCTCAAAGGGTGTCCTCTCAGAGACCACACACCCAGCTCCAGTCTTCTTTTGTACCCCGCCCTCCCCATCTACTCCATCATTCCCTCAGCCATGGGCTTTCCCAGTCCTCCCTGTTGCCCCCATTCTGGATTGCATACCCTTCTCTTACCAGACATGCAAGTTTTCTGGGTGGTTTCAGGGACTTCTTAGAGACTCCTGTGGAAATAGGGAGTTTTCTTGAGCCTTATAGGGAGGGAATGCCAGGGCTGCTCACTCCCAGAATGAGGTGGGTTTCAATCAATGAGGATCTCTTCTCAGGCTCCTCCACTCTTGGACTGACCCCTTCTTTTTTTTTTTTTTTTCTGAGTCAGAGTCTCACTCTGTCTCCCACGCTGGTATGCAGTGGTGCACACTCACAGCTACCGCAGCCTCAGCCTGCTGGGCTCAGGCAATCCCTATACTTCAGCCTTCCAAGTAGCCAGAACTTCAAGCCTGTGCCACCATGCCTGACTAATTTTTAATTTTTACTGTAGAGATGAGGTGTTGCCAAGTTGCCCAGGCTAGTCTCAAACCCCTGGGCTCAGGCAGTCCTCTTGCCTCCACCTCCCAAAGTGCTGAGATTACAGGTGTGAGCCACTGCACCCAACCGGACTAACCCTTTCTTCACCAAACTTTGTGTGCCCAAACCTTGAATTAGCTGAAGCAGAAACTTTGGGGTGCCACCTTCTGCACCCACTCTCTCCATCTTGGAAAGGTACTAAGATGGAATCTGATGATCTGTCGCCCAGATATTTCTTTCTGACGAATTGCTTCTGGGGTGAGAGGACTCCGTTCAGGTCTAATTCCTCTTCCCACGCTCTTACCGGCTCCAGAAGATGAGGAGTGAATTGCTAAAGCTGGTCATAGGTGACTTTCTTGCCAGGCTCAACTTCCAAGGCATCTCTGACAGTGTTGTAACCCCCATGATTTTTATTTTTAATATTTCTCACTCTTTCAAGTTTCTGTCTTCTCCCCTGCCACCCTCATTCCTTCTCCCATGGTACTCTCACATTCCATCTATCCCCAGCACCTGTTTTTGTTTGTAGCCCTGTTGCTCTTGACTCATTCTTAAACAGGGTGGAGTGAAAGAAGATACTCAGGGTGTGGGCCTTTCACAAAGCAACAACTCCACCCTTACCTGCTGCCCACTTTCTACTTTAACTGCGTCACTCACCTGCTCTGTCCCTACCAGACCAAACAGCCAAACAGGTTGGAGCACCTACTTAATTGACTCTTCACCATCCTCCACCCCTACCCTCAGCTCAGTTTATCCCCAGGTAAGAGACCCCATCACCTTAGCCTGTCTTGTGTCTCCCCAGCTGACATTCGCTGCCACTCCTGCTACAAGGTCCCTGTGCTGGGCTGCGTGGACCGGCAGTCCTGCCGTCTGGAGCCTGGACACCAATGCCTGACAACACATGTGTACCTCGGTAACATCCTCTTCTTTAGTGGGGAGTGAGGGCAGGTGGGAGACTCTATGGCTGGGAGTGAGGCCCAACTGGGGCTAAGACTGAGATGGACAGAGAATTACAGCAATAATATTTGGCTTAAGATGATTATATGCCAGGCACTATCCTATGTCTTTACATGCATGTTTCTATTAATGTTTATGACAACCCGATGATGTGGGTGCTGTTCTCATAATGAGCCTTACAAAGAGACAGTAACAGGTCCAAGTCCTCATGGCCAGCAAGTGATAGAACCAGAATTGGAGGGGGTAAAGGTAAGGAAGTGAAAGAGGGAAGCTTAGACTGAGAAGAGATACAGAAGCGGGGCAGGGGCAGAGCTGGGAAGGAAAGAAGCTTGGGCAGGTGCATGGGATAAGGAAGTGGGTGCAGGCATGCCAGGTACCCATCCTGGCTGACTCTCTGCCCAATCCTACCTCTAGGTAAGATGTGGGTTTTCTCCAACCTGCGCTGTGGGACTGCAGAGGAGCCGTGTAAGGAGGCCTTCAACCAAACCAACAACAAACTGGGCCTCACCTACAACACCACCTGCTGCAACAAGGACAATTGCAACAGCCCGGCCCCCCGGCCCACCCCAGCCCTGGCCCTTGTCTTCTTCACCTCCTTAGCTGGTCTTGGCTTCTGGCTGCTGCACTGAGACCTACTCCATGGTTGCCCCTCCTCTACCTGCCTTAGCCTGAGCCTATCTTCCTGTGTCTGTCTCCCCAGCTTCCTGAAATGGTCTCTCCCTAGCTCCCTTTGCTCTGAAAAGCTTTTTCCCAGTCTCTTCCCATTTTTTAAATTAAATAGTTCCCCGTAGTGGTCTCTCCCTACCCATTTCTCCCACGCCCCCTACACCCACCCCTCTGCTTTTTCCAAGCCTCTTCCCATTTCCCTCTAGACCACTCCAGAGCCACCATTGGCCCCTAGAAGGGCTCCCTACTTTGCCTTCTGCGTTCTTCTGTGCCCTGCTTGGGAAGGGATTAGGATCTGGGTCTGAAATGGGGCTTTTGTCTTGTCCCCATTGAAGGCTACCAGGAAGGACCTGATGACCTCACTGCACAGGGCTGATTCCCTGTGCCCTGGTTCCCATATGTACCCCATTCCCATACCCACCTCATTCTGTTTTGAGTAATAAATGTCTGTGTCTGATAAATTGTACATTTATTGTCAGAAGACTTAGGTGTCAGTCCTCCACATGCTTACCCAAGCAAGAATCCTTCAGGGAGTTTCCCTGGGAAGCTGGGCTGGGGCAAATGGAGGAAGAGGCTTTTTTTTTTTTTTTTTTTTTTTGAGTTGGAGTCTCACTCTGTCACCCAGACTGGAGTGCAGTGGCATGCTCACGGCCACCACAGCCTCAACCTGCTGGGCTCAGGCGATCCTTCTGCCTCAGCCTTCCAAGTAGTTGGAACTACAGGCACTCGCTTCATGCCCAGCTAATTTTTTTTTTTAATTGTAGAGATGTGGTCTCACCAAGTTGCCCAGGTTGGTCTTGAACCCCTGGGTTCAGGCAATCCTCCCACCTCAGCCTCCCAAAGCGCTGGGATTACAGGTTTGAGTCATCGTCCTGGCTGAGGAACAGGTTTCTCAGGTTTCCATCCTCCCTGCCAATGCCTGGGGGTGGCACACAGGCCCCAGTGTTTGGAAAAACAACCCTTATCCTAGATTTAGGTTGCACCCCTGATGCACTGTCAAGAAGAAGCTGCAGCCTGGCTTGAGGGCTCCCCAGAAAGGGTAGGAGAGATAAACGAGACCCTCTTTCTTCACTTTCTCTCAGGTTAGAGTCAGAGGCTTCCCCTGGCCTAGTTACTAAGTGGGACATCAAGCAACTCTCCTATCACAGTTCTTATATTTCCTTTCTCAATTCATAATAGTCCTATCAGGAACCAAGCTGCAAAAGGAAGAAAAGAAAGGAGACCCAGACAACCAGACTTATGGAACCCTAGTTACCCCCACTCAACCCAGAGACTGCTCCCCTCATTGCTAAGGAAGATTCCCCCCAGCAACAGGATCCAGAAGTCGCTTAGGGCAGATGGGTCATTGTCCTTTGGGATTTAGTTGGTTAAGGACTACACCATTGCAACTAAGTCGACTGATGCTTGGTGAACTAGAACCTGGATGCCCCATATTACCCCTTAGCCCTCCCATCAACAAAAGATAGATGGAATTTTCCAGTCAGTTCTAGGGTGGTTGATAGATTTTAATGGCTCAGAGGAGAGCTTGTCTTCTCATCTTTGATGTTCAGATGTCCCTTGTTCCCTTGCTGTCTTCCCTACCCCTGCTCCCACAACACCCTCTACAGTCCCGGCAAGAGCCAGGCCAGGGCAACAGCTATTGCAGCCAAGATGTATGCAGGAGCCACATGGCTTGTCATGGTGCTGTTACACAGGTCTCCGAGGCAGCAGTCCCTGTGGGTTGTGTAAGTCACATCTCCTACCGACTCTGTTTCCTCTTGATTGCAATGATGGGCTGCCACGCAGGTTGGATGTTGATGAATCAAGGTCACTGAGGCTGAGAGAGAGAATGAAACTGGGGAGTTAGACTCCTGGCTTTAGGACTTGCCTTCTGTGACAGAGAAGATGTGATTTCAAGGAACCCAAAGGGATTTTCTGTCCCTTAAAAAACACCTCCCTGAAACCAAGTTATCAAAGTTGACACATTGGCATTGTGAATTTCTGATGTGAAGCACTGAGAGGGATGCAACACTACTTCTGCAGTATTCTTGCCTAAAATGCATGACCTCAATCTCATTATGAAAAAATATCAGATAAATCCAAATTGAGGGACACTCTATAAAATAATGATAAGGCCAGGTGTAGTGGCTCATGCCTGTAGTCCCAATGTTCTAGGACCTGAGGTGGGAGGATTGCTTGAACTTGAGGATTTTCAAGGCTGTGGTGAGCTATAATGGCACCACTGTACTCTAGCCTGGGAGACAGAGTGAAACCCTGTCTATAAAATAAAATAAATAATAATTTTAGTACATTGGGTTTCTGTAAATAAAAACAACCTAAAATGATTTTTAAAAACCCGGATATAAAATACTATATCTTGAAAAGTGCTGGATCATGAAAGACAAGAAAAACAGAGAACTGAAGGCTGAGCGCAGTGTCTCATGCCTGTAATCTCAGCACTTCGGGAGGCGGAGGCAAGAGGATTGCCTGAGTCCAAGGGTTCAAGACCAGCCTGGGCAACTTGACAAAAGCTCGTCTCCACAATAAATAAAAAAATTAGCTGGACGCAGTAGCATGTACCTGTGGTTCCAGCTACTTGGAAGGCTGAGGCAAAAACATCTCCTGAGCCCAGTAGGTCAAGGCTGCAGTGGCTGTGAGCATGCCACTGCACTCCAGCCTGGGTGACAGAGTGAGACTCCAACTCAAAAAAAAAAACAAAAACAAAAGAAAATGAGACCTGGCACAGATCAGAGGATATTAAGAAGATATGAGAACTAAATACAATGTGGGATCCTGGTTGCACCCTGAACCAAAAAAAGACATGAGTGGAACAACTGGCTAAATCAAATAAAGTGTAAATTAGTAGCATTGTACTAGTGTTATTTTCTGATTTTGATATTTGTACTATGACTATGTAAGATGTTTGCATTGGGGGAAGCTGGGAGACATTTTTTGCAACTTTTCTGTCAATACAAAATTATTTGAAAACTATATATATATAATAAAAAATATATCCATTATATGGCATTATATACCCATTATATGGCATGCAGCTATGTATACACCTCCCTGGTCCTTAGCTGATGCCTGAAAGTTGAAGTTGAAGTTTGGTTTAACATTTTGGTTCCTGTCTTCAAGGAACAAAGCTTTTCATTTGTGAGTGGATAGGCCTATGAGATTCCCTCCGGAGAGGAAAGACGGGGAAGTGGAAGCACAAGGACTGTGGACTTCTGAGGCGCTCAGTGCCAGGAGCCAGAAGGGGTACAGACTGCTCTACTCTGACAGTGGCACCATCTGCCCAGAGTCTGACTGAGCCCGGAAGATTCTGGAAACCAGAGGGATTGAAGTGGGGCTAGAGGCAGGGAAGGACTGAGAGAAGAGGAAGAAACTAAGGACTCACGGTTTTCAGACAACTTGATCTGTTCCAGACCTGGTTGGGGTCTGCGCACCAGGAAGCCACAGCGTTCGCCCTCGCCACAGGTGGTCACCGTCTCTTTGCAGGAGCTGCTGGGGCTTCTACCGCAGTCATAGCACCTCATTCGGTTTCCTGGCAGAAGGAAAAAAAGGAGCTGGACCTGGGCCCTCGGGGAAGCCAGCTGGCAGAGGAGAAGGATGGCCTGTGTAAGAGGCTAGCTGGATGCCAACAGCTTACCGGAGCCAGCCCCCAGCAGGGTGCCGAGCAGGATCCCAACAAATTGGGGGTTCATCTTGTCTGCCTGTGTCAGTAGCGCCTCTCCCTCCCGCCCACCCCCCTCCCCAGCCCTGGTCTGCCAGCCTTATATCCCCTTTGTTTTGGGCTTTATAGGGCTATAAAAAGGGAGGAAAGAGTCTCCCCTAGCAGGCCCCAGGGGCCCAAGTGAGGATGGAAATGCCCCCCCACCTCCCCGCAATAAACTCTCAGCATCTTCTGGAGTCCTCAAACTCCTTTATCCTCAGCAGCATTTCTGAAAGTGAGACCCAAGAACCCCTGAGGGTCCCTGAGATCCTTTCAGAGGGTCCTCAAGGATCCTTCCCTCGAGGGAACCACATATCTGTGTGAGGTCTGATTCCCTCCATATATTGTACTTCAGTGAAAACAACATATTCCAACAAATGGAATGAGAAGCAGATATGAAAACCCAGCCATGTTCCATTGAACCTGGCATTAAATATGTGCACAAAAATGTACAGCAATGATACTCTTATCACTGTATTGTTGGGAAATAATAGTGATTTTTCACAAAACCATATTGTTAACATGTAATAGGTTTATTATTTTTATTTTTTAAGGGAATCAACAAATATCTATTTAAAATGTCCTGTTTTATTTTCTAATATAGTAAATGTTGATATAACCCACATTTTAAAAAAGCTCTTTAAGATCTTAAGTAATTTTTGACCGGGCTTGGTGGCTTGGTCTGTAATCGCAGCACTTTGAGAGGCCAAGGTGAGTGGATTGCCTGAGCCCGCGGGTTCGAGACTAGCCCAGGCAACTTGGCAAGACCTCGTCTCTACAATAAATAAAAAATTAGCCAGGCATGGTAGCGCGCACCTGTAGTTCTGGCTACTTGGAAGGCTGAGG